TGTACCAAAACAAACAAGCAGGAAAAGGATATGTTTCTCAGAACAACACTGGGAAACAAGTGGAATGAGGTTCTACTTAGCTTGAGGATATCCATAATTTGGGGCTACCTTTGGAAACTCGGTGGGCAAAAAGTCGAGTACATTCATTCTATCATCCAGGAAAAATGCCCAAATATTCTGTCTGAAAAAAAGTACACTGAAACTACTTGTTGTAGCTTTTCTTTTGAATTCCCTTCTGATTTCATGTGCAGATGACGATCCATCCCTGTTTTGGAAGGCATCAACAAGCCTTCTCCCGATGTGGCTCCTGTTGGCAAGGATAAGAATTACAGGACCAGAGTATTTCACGAGGTTACAAAATAAAACCCATGGAAGGACAGGAGCACCTGAAGCCACTCAGGTGCTCTACACTCAGAGCCAGAGAAGATCTCAAGGTTCCTGAGCTTTCAAATTCCCTAAACACTAACAAATATCTCCAGACATATTGAAAAATTTAGGCCCTAGCTCCCTTTAACAGCTGGATGGTACAAAGGAGGATAACTACCACTATCTGCTTAGTACAGAAAACCCTGCTGTTGTCCTACCGCATTCCAAGAGCAGTAAAGCCAAACCTAATTTAGGGATAATGGAAGTGATTTATGCAAACTTCCTTTCCTGCTTCACTTGGAATTGCAATTGAGTGGTCTGTATCCACCCTCCCAACTATCATCTCTCCACCATAAAGGCAGGAGTTTATCACATTATATTAAAGTGGATCTATCACGCTGAAAATTTAATCCTAGACTAGATAAGGAACAGCAGCTACTCAGTTTCCCTTCTCTGTGGACACTGCTGTTACAGATGCTTATAAATCACTAGACCTACTAAACCTGAACAAAAATTATCAAAAATAACCCTAATTATTATTTTCTTACTCTAACAACTATGATTTCCTGACATGCATGACAAGTCCTATAAAATATAGRAGATACAGAGACACTTAGGTCATTGTTTTTATTATAAAATCACTGAGAAGAACCTATCAGAGAGAGAAACCCTTTTCAAGTTCTTCTCAGTGGTGGACAGTGACAGGACAAGGGGCAACGGGTATAAGTTGAAACACTGGAAGTTCCATCTSCATGTGAGGAAGAACTTCTTTCCTGTGAGGGTGCCAGAGCCCTGGCACAGGCTGCCCAGGGAGGTTGTGGAGTCTCCTTCTCTGGAGATCTTCCAAACTCGTCTGGATGGGACCCTGTGCCCTGTGCTCTGGGTGTCCCTGCTGGAGCAGGGGATTGGACTAGATGGTCTCTAGAGGTCCATTCCAACCTCAACCATTCTGTGATTCTSTGAAACTCTGTAGACTGTTAYAGAACAAAACAACAGGCAAACAAACATCTTCACTTTCACTAAATAGGAAACACAAGGAAATCTTCGCAGGAGTGGCCCAACTCGAAAGCAAGAAAATGATTTTCCCTCAGCAGAGCATTAAGACATACACTGCTGAGAGAAAACAGAGCAGCTTTGGATCTGCTGCCTCACTGTCACATGCAGAACAGGCAGTAACGACAGACAGGCAGAAAGGATCAATGTGCAGAAACTAAGAACAACGTGTGCATCAATTCTCATTCGTGTATTTTGTCCTTMCATTTTTGCAGTTCACAAACACATTGTTCTGCTCACTGAACTGAGCTGCACAGCCTAGCAGAGGCYAAGTTCCCCAGAATACATGAAAGTTAAAGGGAACACCAGAAAAATAATGTGCATTTCCAGCAAGCAACTACGATTTTTGCTAGACCACTGATTCCCTCCTGGGCTGAAGACCCAATTCAGGAATGGCTCATCCTGAAGCCCAAGCTAATCTTCTCATCTGAGTTTTGTAGACTAGATTACAAGTTACACTTGCCTAACAGTGCAGATGATGTAGTTCAAGGTTATGTGTTGGCACTGTTGATACAGAGAAAACCCAAAGATGATGTCATTACCCATTTCCAAATGGCAAATCCTAACTACCAAAATATAGTCCTGGAATCACAGGAGCAGTGTAGGACTTCATTAACTCCCTGTGCAAACATGGAAATTCCCTTTTAAGTTGTCAATTAAATCTTGTCACCATTTGAATCTCCCTTAATGCTTCCAAAACAATAGCAGCAGTCCCAGAAAACTAAATCTGTGATCATCTGAAGACAATCGGACATTGACACAGGACACACAATTCCTCTGGAGGGAGAGGGAGGAGGAGGGAATGAAAATTAATAAATAAAGATTAGATCACACAAAATTCAAATCTTCTTCTCTGCCCCCCAGAAGAAAAACAAAAGGAAG